ATCAAATCAACACATCATACACCTTAAACTTACACAACGTTATATGTAAATTATATCTCAATTTTTTAAAAACAGAAAAATTTCCCTTACCTACTGATTACGTTTTAGGAAATATTCCAGCCTCCCTCTCCTTTTGAGTTGTTGTGAGGCTATGACAAACCACTAAGGACCAAATCATGCACTGTGTGCTCACAGCATGCCTCCTTCTCCTTTCTTTTTCCTCTCTTCCTCTCCCATGGTCACTCTTGTTCCTTGGGTAGCCACCAGCTACCAACTCAAGGCCAGCAAACTGACCCATACAGCCCAATCCAAGAATCACCAGATGCTTGGTGCTAAGTCACCTGAATTTTACTTAAAAATGAAAAAGAATGCAAAAATGTTAATTTTCCCAAATGATAACCCTATTCTAGGCCAGTAACAAGGGCAGCTTCAAGGTCTGCCATCTTTTTAGATTCAGTGCCAAGAGGAAACACTAATGGTCACTCCTGGAGCCACTGTAAGGTGTGGACTGGAATGAACACTATGCTTGCCTGTCCCACAGGCCTGTTTCACTCCTGTCTACTGAAACACAACACTGCTGTTTACTGACCTGTCAGCTCAGGGGCGGGCCTGACTGATCAAAGAATAATCCCAAGTGACTGATTCAGGAGTGGGCCTGTGACCCAATTTTGTTCTATGAAAAGCTGCGGCATGTTTCTGATGGATTCATGCACCCGAATCCAGACACCACCAGTACTCTGGGAACAGCTCTCTGAATTTTACTTGCCAATGAAAAAAATGCAAGTAACTCTTGAGAATATTTTGAGGGAAAAAATTGTATTTCAAGCTGGACATGTACAAGAAAGCAACCACCTGTTGCTGTGGCAGCAACCTAAAATCCAACCATGAAAGAGGATGCCATAGACAAAGCTAATGCACAGAGGGCACAGCTGAGAGACTTACAGAGAAATGGAGCCTGAACTATGCTCAACATAGCAAAATGAACTATGCCCAACTATACCTCCTGACTTCTGTTCTAAATGAATATTATTCCTTAATATTAAAGCCAGATTGAATCATCTTTATTTGCAGCCAAAAGCCCTAATACACTGGTATTGTTTTCATAATCATAAAACATATATATTTAAAATATCAATGAATAAGGAAAAAACAAATAAATACAGGCCATGCTCAATGAGAGGTTATCAGAGAACTAACAGAGAATTCTCCCTACACACTTTTGCTAGATATTAATATATATCTCCTTCTCATATGTGATATTTTTTCTCCCATGGTTTCTACCTGCATCATTCTAATCTCCACTTCCATCATCATATCACCTCCACCTTCTTGCCACTCTCTTATAAAGACCCATGTGATTATATTGGGCCCACCCAAATAATCCTGAATAATATCCGTATCTCAAGATTCTTAACTTAAATTTGTCTGCAAAGTCCCTTTTATCAGGTAACATATTCACAGGTTCTGAGAATTCAAACACTGACATCTTTGGGGGCTTTATTCAGCCTACCATATATGCCAACATGATAATAAGTCCTTTACATTCAGAGACATCTAGAAATTCAGAAATCTGTGAATTCACTATAGTAGTTGCTCTACTCACAATCACCTAACTAGAGAGGTTTTGCTAGTTTGCGGATCTTATTTGTTCCTCTATTTGTTTAACTGAATTTGGCCAAATCTTAGGAAATGTGAGGATTTTGGTGTGATACATCTGAGATGGAGCAGACGGGATGTCCTAGGATTTGTATTTTTTAAACACCCATGAATTATTTCGAATTTATTCAACTTTCATTCAATAAATCTTTATTAATGTTTCAGAAGCTGAAGAATTTAAAGTATCTAACCACATTTTATGTTGGAAAACTAAGTAAAAATGTAACAGTCATGACAAAGGAAATATTCCTTTCTTAAATTTCAAAAAATTCTGCATATACAATGTAAGGGAGACTAACTTGAGCATGAGATGAGGAAACAAAAACATGAAAGAGACCTGTTACCAACGGAAAGAATATTTGCTGCATTTAGTGTTGTTTGTTTGTTTTGTTTGTTTATCTTAACCAACTCTGAATTTGGCATATTTGAAAATGCTTTTTCTCCCCTTACCACCTGTGATGGTTAATTTTCTTATGTGATATTTTTAATTAAAATTGAATCTGTGCTTTTGAGAAAATACTCAGATACTCTAATTGCAAGGAGAGTACAATCAGGATCAGAAGCCTAGGACAGACCAGGGATTAAGGAACGGGAGACGGCCAAGGTTCAGAGCCTTTCCCACTCCCCACTCCCCACCCCAAGCTTCTTTAACAATTATCATCATAGTAATAAATTGAACAGTTTAAAAGTCATAACAATACTCTCAGCCTGGACAAGATAACCTCTTTAGACGAGGGGAAGTGTCTCACCACACTCCACTAAAAGATCTATTTATATTTTCAATATTAAAATTGTCCTACATCATTTATATTACTGGCACCTCCCTTCTCCATTATTGTTCAGTTTGTGTTCATGCAGATAGCTACAGCTGTTAGCGGACATTCTCCAGAAGTTTCCAAGAACTACAGCAGGGCTATTAGGGGAATTCCTAACAATAATTCCTAACATTTCTTCCTGATTATAATGACATTAAGGATGTGGGACTATGGCCTAACCTCTCAAGTCTCTCTTTCTCCTACCTCCTGGGCCATCCTAGACCTAGACACAACCTAGACACAACCTGTGTCTAGACACATCCTAGACACAACTATCCTCTCTTTTCTTACACCCAGGCTGTTGAACGTGGTAAAACAAAACACACACTCACAAAAGCAATGCAAGTAAGCGCCATGCACACATATGATCTTGAAAGTTATTGCCCCTCTGTCATCCTGCAGGGTCAGCTCCATCTTCCACCCCCATTCTTTCAAGCCCCTACATACTAACCTCCTGGGCTCCACCCTCCTTCCACCTTCCGCCTCCTCTCTAGGCAAGAACTCCCTCAATGCCTTACCTTCCAGCAGCAAAGGTATCTACATTGCCAACCATTATGACATTTTTCCCTCTTAGGTCAGAGGAAGGAGCATGGCTCCTCCTACATAATTAATAATAAAGTGATAACAAGAATACTCACAATGTACCATGTTCCTCATTCTACACAGTTATTGCTCCATCTGTACTCTAGGTCCCATCCTCTCCTCCTCCCCTTGGTCCATTAATCCTTCTCTCCAGCTCCTCTATGAACTCTTTCCACTCAAATGCAAGTCCCTCAGACTTCCACTTGCAGCCAAGATACAGAAACAGTGAGATCTACTCCTCCACCTGAAACAGTGGTTTTCCAGACACTGCACATCAGACAACAAAAGACATGATGCCTGAAAGATGGGAAATAAAGGAAGTGATCCCTATGGCTGACTGCCCTTTGCTTACAGCCTTGAGAGCATCTCTAGGCTGCAGCAGCAAGAGGGGAACGCAGGTGGAGCCTGGAGAACCCCCTAAATTGAGGAGATGAGCTGAGAGTCTTAAAAGACCAAGCTGATTAGAATCCACAGGACAGTAACAGTAGGAGAGAGCTGCACACAGAACTCAGGAGATCTACAGAGTCCAAATTAAGTACTCAGCAGAGTAGTGAAGAGCACATATGTGTAAGGAAACTCCTGGAGGCTGGGGAAAGAACCACACAAAACCATGAGAGAAAACAGTAACCTGAGCTCCCACAGGGCCGGGATGTTTGAGAGACACAAACATTCAGTCTACAGCAAAATCCAAAAACCAAAAAAATACCGTAATTAAGTTCGACCTATAACCTGAGAAGTACCACAAGCCAACAAAATTAAAAGTACAGCATCAGTTTAGATAAAAAATACTCCATAAATTTTGGTGATATGTGAGTTCATGAAGGGAATGGAAGAGAGGGGGAGAGGCGACTACTACTAAGTACCTTCTCGGTGCCAGGCACTTGTGAGGGTTCAATAAGACATGGTCCCTGTCCTGAGCACCACACCCAGTCTTCAAAACAGACTCATCGGACTTCCCTGCTGGCGCAGTGGTTAAGAATTCACCTGCCAGTGCAGGGAACACAGGTTCGAGCCCTGGTCTGGGAAGATCCCACATGCCGCAGGGCAACTAAGCCCGTGCACCACAACTATTGAGCCTACACTCTAGAGCCTGTGAGCCACAGCTACTGAGCCCACGTGCCACAACTACTGAAGCCCACACGCCTAGAGCCCGTGCTCCGCAACAAGAGAAGCCATCACAATGAGAAGCCTGCATACCACAAGGAAGAGTAGCCCCTGCTCGCCGTAACTAGAGAAAGCCTGCGCGCAGCAACAAAGACCCAAAGCAGCCAAATATAAATAAATTAATTAAAAGAAAAAAAACAGACATCATCATCTCCCTCCCCTGAAATACTCCTTCAGCTTTCTGCCAGGAGTCAGCTAAAAGGTCCCCTCCTTGGGGCTTCCCTGGTGGTGCAGTGGTTAAGAGTCCACCTGCCGATGCAGGGGACACAGGTTCGTGCCCCGGTCCGGGAGGATCCCACATGCCACGGAGCGGCTGGGCCCATGAGCCATGGCCGCTGAGCCTGCGCGTCCGGAGCCTGTGCTCCGCAATGGGAGAGGCCACAACAGCGAGAGGCCCGCATACTGCAAAAAGGAAAAAAAAAAAGGTCCCCTCCTTAAAAAGACTTCCTTTCATCACTCTAAAGCTACTCTAGAGAACCCACTTTCTTTTCTCTACAGTACTTCTCACAATTTCTAATTACCATTTATTATTATATTCTATGATTACTTATTATTTTCTCCCATGCACATTTAGAATACGAGCTCCATAGTGAAGAAACCACTGTACCTTTGGTGACTAGCACAGTACATAACCATTGAAGGCACTCAAACACTTATTGAATGAATGAAGACAGGAACTGTGACTGAGATAAGTTTCCAGATGATCAACATTTTCCAGGCTAGTTAGCCCCAAATCCCTCGACTTGGTTCCCTTAGTTATGAAACAGCATGCTGAGTACTCACCTCCACCTGAGTGACATTGATGACCAGCACTACCACCATCAATACTGCAAGCAGACAGCAGAAAAAACGTAGTTTGAAGAAACTGATCCACATTGTCTGGCTGTGTCTTGATCACCCATGGCCGACACCATGCTCCCTTCACTCCTTAAAACTCCATGTCTTTGTTTTTCTGAGCTGCAGATGAGCTTTCAGTTTGACTTGCTTCTTTTCTGCTAGTTTACTTACGAGTTCTTTGTATAAAAGAGCAACTGGGGTTGATTTAAGAGGCACATTTTTCTCCAAAGGACTCCTTCGAAGAGGGGAGATGAGAAAACAGATTACCAATTACAATAGCTTAGAGTGGAGTAAAAGGAAAGACACCATATTTCCTCTTCCTTAACCTTACTGAAGACCCAAAGTCATAAGAGAAAGCAAAGAAACAGAGCACAGTAACATCTATTCCACATCTGGACAATTTACTTAAACCCAGCTCCAGGCTTCTGTGTTAATACAGAGATATTTGTACTACTACCTATTTAGGTTTTAACTTTTAAGAGAGCAAAGAAGAATATCTTCAAACCCTTAGAAATTACAAAATTCAAGTGTTAATATTCTAAAGAGGTCTAAGTAAATAAAACCACTTCCCTTCCCTTACAGTTTAAGTTTTATTACATTACTAGAGTAATTATATTTAAAGAGCAGTAAGAAGAAAACCAGTGATTTTATGAGAAGATCTGGGATTAGGTGCAAACCATTCTGATAACCTCTGGAAAACAGGGATGCCATCCCTCTGTATGGCAGGAGACAGGAAACACCCTTTGGGTTTCTGGCTCCCTCACCACATATGTGGTTCTGATGCTCCCACAGCTGAGTAACAAGGCACAGGAGGAAAGACACCTTCCCTGAAGATGTAGGAGAGGAAAGCTAAGCTTCAGGAGTAACAGCTCACCCAAATCCTTCATCACACCTGCTAGAGGCAGAGGACTTGAGAGTATGTGGCTCCTAACTGTTCTTCCATGTAATTATTTTAAAATGCTCTCCCCAGCTGCTTCTATGATATAGGTAAGCAGTGAAAATGTTAGTGTTTAGTTCCCAGTGAGGCTTTCCATGGAAGGCAGGATAGAGAGGTAAAGGTGAAAAGGGTGCATAACCACAGTGCAGAGGACCTCAGACTCCCTCAGCTGCACCAATACTCCTACAGTTTTGTGTTGGACCTGGCAAGCCCCCTCTTCCCTCACTCCTCCACTCTTCTGGTCTAGTACGTTCCCATACCACAAGTCCCATACCACAAGGACATACAACAACACTTCCTCACCCCAGCTTCATAAAGGAGACAAGGCTAAGCTATTCCAGTATGCTTTCCATCCTTAGAATTCCCACAGCACTTACGTTTTTCACTTCTCAGTTGATCTCTGTATTTCTATGCATTTCTCATCTCCCCAACTACTCTATACCAATTAAGACTATATTTAAAAAATTAAAAAAACAGAAACTATATATCAGAGGAAAGCAACTTAAGGATAACAATATATCATACTTTTTGATTCCTTCCTAGTACTTAGCTCTTTACATGATATACGTTGATTCAACAATCCACACTGTACTAAGTGCCAGAAATTCCCCTGGCAAAGCTTACACTCATGTTAGGCAAGAGGTATTTCTCTCCTAAATTAAAGAGGAATAAATCCCCCCACTCCTGACCACCTCCACAGGGATGCCAAGTACTGTGAAAGACTGAACTTAACCATTTCATAGCCCCCCAACATCACCCCTCTCCAACACCCAGCTACCTACCCACCCTGAAGTGCCTGTAAATTCTAGGAAGGAAATGGCTGTGAAATAAAGGAAATAACTGTCCTCAGGGCCCCTCTGCTCCTCTGCAGAAACCCTTCTCAAGGAGCTGGCCACAAGAATCATAGTTTTCCCTGATGGCCAGAGAGGGAAGACCAAAGATAATACTCCACTGCACCACGGTAGCCGTGGTCTACGTACTGTGGAAAGGCCAGCAGCTCAGAGGACGTCAGTGTGGTTCAGAGCCGTTCAGCAGCAGCACAGCAATGGTCAGTGGCGCAGAAGGATGGCACAAGGGCAGCAGACTTCAGAGCTAAAGGAACGCAAGGCCTTATAGGCAGCAATGCAAACATGCAAGAAGCCCCTCACAGCCAGGGACTTCTTATAAAAATCATTATGGAAGGTCATGCCAGGAAAAGATCTGACTTCCTGCTACAAGTAGGTGGAACACTGAGATTGAGAGACCCATCTGTACACCTAAGTAGATACAGCCTGAGGTGTACTAGACAGACCTCTCTTTGAAAAGACACATACTAAAATGTTGATAGTTGTCACCTCTGGTTGGTTTTTGTTTTTCTCCTTCATCTTCACCAGGAAATAAAACTCACAAATATAAAGAAAAAAGCTGGTTTCTAAAAGTAATAATTAAAAATGAGCTTATAAGGAGAAACAAGGCATTAAATCAGATATGAGAAAACAAATTTAAAATGAAAGATTCCAAATGGAAAAAAGAAATCTGTAACAGATTTCTGGGTTTTTCCTACAAATATAAAACCTAGGCATTATAGCAAGAAATCTATTTGCAAAGAGAGCAGGAAAATATCATTTGGTATCTCAAATTGCCTTAGAATTGAGTAAGAACAATAGTGCTAGATAGGAATGACTCTAAAATAAAGTTTCCTAGATCAACCAAAAAATAAAAATATATAATTGAATTTACTTTACCTTTTTTTTTTGGAAATTTCGTTCCCAAGAAGAGATACTTATTAGAACTAAGAAATTAGGGTTTACATCTAACTTTCCTTCCAGTGTAAAATCTGCACTCAGGCAACTGTGAGAGCCCTTATTCTTTTCTTGTCACATTCGAAGCACATGTTGAAGTTTTCCATTTTTATACCATTCTTCCTGCTGCAACAGAGATAAGCACATGAAATACAGGTTAAAGATACTGAAAATGAAGCAAAGGAAAATATATTTGAAATCAAGAATACAATTTTATAGCAAAGAGATGTACATAGACTTCAGTACAAAGTAGTGGGTGGAATAAGGATAGGAACATTTCCTTTCCTAGTAATAAAAAAAAAAAACCAACAATAAGTGGCTATTTATATTCATGAACTTACATAGGGCAAATCATTCTCAGATCTGAGCTAAAGGTCAAAACCTTATAAATCACAACATAACTGGAAAAAATATAAACCACAGATAAAAGCTTCATATGTTATTTTTCTTTTTTTTTTTAATTTTTATTGGAGTATAGTTGATTTACAATGCTGTGCTGATTTCAGGGGTATAGCAAAGTGAATCAATTATACATATGCATATATCCACTCCTTTTTAGATTCTTTTCCCATATAGGCCATTACAGAGTATTGAATGGAGTTCCCTGTGCTATACAGTAGGTCCTTATTTTCTTATAGACTAGAATAATCATGTAGTTCAATGATCCATCCTACCACTAGAGAAAACAAGAAGTATCTGGACACATCTAAAAGTTGTGATCACTCCATGAGGAATCGCAACTTAGGCAGTCTTGTTCTCAAATCTTTCTGAAATGTTAGAACATCACTTACTCATGCTTCATATTTACGTTCAAATGACAAGCAAAAAGTAAAATCCATGGTCTGCTGGGTCTGTTTTGCCAAATTTTGATTAAGACTATTTACCAGCCAATCTAAATTCTTTATGGCCTGTGGCAACAACCCTATACTGCCATTAGGTACCTGACCTCCTACCCCCATCTCACAAGAGAATTACAAAGTGATTGCTTATATCGCTTGGAATTACAATTGTCAGTAACACAAATGAAAATACTTGAGTTCAGTACTAAAAAGAAAATTAGGGGCTTCCCAGGTGGCGCAGTGGTTAAGAATCCGCCTGCCAATGCAGGGGACACGGGTTCCAGCCCTGGTCCGGGAAGATCCCACATGCCACGGAACAATTAAGCCCGTGTGCCACAATTACTGAGCCTGCGCTCTAGAGCCCACGTGCTAAACTACTGAAGCCCGCTCGCCGCAACTAGAGAAAGCCCGCGTGCAGCAACACAGACCCAACGCAGCCAAAAATAAATAAATAAAAATTAGGCAGCAACCCTACCCTCTGGGGGGGCTAACGTTCTTAGACAACCACTACACAAAAACAATACATTATTGAACAACCACACACCGAGTTTCTGGAACAGTCCCCATCCTAAATACTCTGACCTGCCAGCCACATAGATGTACTTGTCAGAGCAAGTATCTGGAATTTTAATTCAGAATACAAGGACCCCACACATAAAAGACAAAAGCACAGATTTACATGGAATATATCCCGACTTACATGTTCATATCTCGAACTTTCCAAAGATCAGCTGTATTTCATAGGGTGCTGAGTAAAACCTTGAAACTTAACAGGGGAATGTCTAGAGAAAGAACTGGAGACTCATCCAAGACCATGATGATGATGGGTCAACCAAATAAGATCAATCCTTGGATAAAAATGAAGCAGGGACAGAAGTCTACACAGGGACAGAAGTCTACAAGACTTGTTTCCCCATATTCCATTCCATTTCTCTTTCATGTACCCCCATCTCACATGCCCAAAATGCTGACTCACCTAGGCCTTCTCTTCTTTCAAAGCAGCACCCCAATGCTTTCATAATATCCAGGGGCAGTAGGGTAGAGAAGTAAACAAATCAGTTAAATAAGTCACAAAGCAATAAGTGCTATAAGAAAAAAACAGGGCATGTTGATAGGCGGTGGTCTTTAACCTTGCATGCCCATTAATTATCATCCCAGAAGCTTATAAAAATACCAATGCCTGCATTCCACTCAACCAACTGGATCAGAATCCATAGGAGTAGGGCCCGAGAAACAGTTTTTATTTAATGTCTGCAGATAATTATAATACACAGCCAGGTAGCAGAACCAATGGTATAGAGTGGCCAGAGGGTCTTATTTGTACAAATTGCTCAGGGATGGCCTTTCAGAAATGATGCTTGAATTGTAACTTACATTGTCCCTCCAGGACAATCCGATTCTGGGTCAATGGGGATAGCCAACCCTACTTCAGGGATCTATCCCTTCGTTTCCCTTCTCAGTAAAAAATAACTGCACTGTATCAGGCCCAGAGAGATTGTGAGGATGAAAGACACAGAAGATATTAAACACAGTCAAAGGA